CGGTCGCACATTCCCAGAGGCTCGCTAGCTACGAAATTTGTTTAAATCAATTAAAATTGCCTCCTTTTTGTCCCAGCTACAAATCATTTACGATAATTTGATAACAAAAAAGAAAAGAAAACAAAATTTGGCTCTCGTGTTCTTGTCAAACGTGGTATTTTTTTTTCGCTCCGTGTGTGTGTGTTGCGCGATCTTAAATCGATTGTATTGTGTTTAAAACAGCTGTCAGCAAAGGTGAGTCTGCAAGCAGGTGGCGTCCGCTCAGAGCGAAAGCTGTACGCACATGCTCAAAACATATTCAAATGAGAAGAGCACACCATGAGGTGGCGTTCCAGAAAATGTTAGCCAGCGAAAAAAGTTAGCAAAAAGAAAACAAGAGGGAAGGGCTATCTTCGATACGCCGAAGATTAAATACCATTTGCAGATATATCTTTGCTTAATCGTGCGAGTCTTCCTATATAAAATATAGTATACATAAGCTTTTAGAACTTGCCAATATATCTTTAAGTTTTCTAGCAATTCTTCTTATATTAAATAAATATATCAAATTAAGGATCATGGTTTATACAGTTTTATTTGATCTGCTGAATTTCATTGTTATATTTTACACTGCGCCTCAAAATGTAGACAGCAGCAAAATTGACATATAATCGAATATTTACGTATGTTTATTAGGAATATTTGATATCAAATGACAAGTTGCGCATTAGAGCGTCTTACAACACTGAACGTCAACTTCGCAGCGCTACCTAACTTTACCAGATTTTTGCTATAAGAAAGTTTATAATACTTGTATTAATTGTGCGCTGCCAGAAATCGAGGAAAGTGCATGTTTTTTTTCCAATTATCATTTTCAAACTATAGAGCACGTTCAAAGACAAGATACGAAAATACAAATGTTCGCACAGCCACAAACGCGAATGCTAAAGCCAAATGTGAGCTCGATATTTCAGCTGAAATGAGAACATCTTAACGTGTACGTTTCGTGGAATGACCCACGTCAGCTAGTATAAGTAGTGGCATATTTAGATCATCTTAAGTCACATCATTCTGTCATGTTAACAATTCGAAGAATTTTCAATATTTAAAACAAAGATGTTAATTAAAGCAAAAAGAAGACGACCAAACTATGTTAGAGGCTTTCATTCATATTGTTTCAGCGTTCGCTCTTACCTAGTGTATCTCAAAGTCTGTACAGAGCAGCAAGCTGTTGGGAATTCTCATGCACATACAAAATTGATTCGAATTGTTACTCATAAAAGCTTTAGGTGTTGGGCTCCGAGCTTTTTCCCACATTCTTCAAACTAACCAACAAAAAAACCCTAAACAAATGAGCTGCGTGACAAGGTGCCATAGAGCGTATTCATTCAGAGCAATTGACCAGAAATGCACACACATATATGTATGTGTTTGTTTTTCCATATTTGTATATATATATTGCATGTGCAACCACCTAAATGTAATTATCGCAGTAACAATAAAATTACCCTATATTAAAGTGGGAAACTTTAATACCTTTTGTATGTATGTATTCATTGCCACCTATTAGCAGAAGAGGGACAGATTTTTATATAAACACACAGTTAAAGGTAGAAAAAGTCGGGGCAGAAGATAAGAAACTATCTTGATAAAGAGATAGAGAGCGAGAGAAAGAAAGAGAGAGATAGAGGACAGCAGAGTATATTGTAGTCAGTCAGGTTATGACAGAGATAAAATTTATTAGATTGCCAAGAACACATATTAATATAACACCTATAATTTTAGCATGAAACAGAATTCATAAGAATCACAGAGTAGGGCAATGTTATAAAATACCTTCTTTTTTTTTTAAATAATAGTGCAGTAAGAAGTATGTATATTTGAATAGCAAATGGTGGAAATGAATAAACATCTACACGAATTTGTAAGACTTACTAGAATTCGTGAGAATCGCAGAGTAGGGAAATTTTAAAAAATATCTTTTCAATTTCAGCGCAGCGAGCGCAGCTATCAAATTTTGAAGTTAAGTTAAGCTTCGTAGAAGAAAACAAACACAAAATAATACAACACACGTAAATATATATGTGTAATACATATATACACATACATATAGGTCAACTAAGATCAACTAAGGACTTGGTCAGTTTTTGCTTTAAGAAGAGTGCTTGTTCATTTTTAGCCCATGGGATGAAACACGCATCTATTAAATGTTATGTAGATCTACGAAAATAAAGTTAATGGTCGTTTTACGTTTTAATTGAGTTGAAAACAAAAAAATCGCTATTTGAGCCAACTCTCTTTTGTAACGGCCTCAAATCAATGAGTTATGACTGTCTCGCCGAGACATACCGTCCGCACGACACTCAAAAGCTAAATGTTCAAGCAAACAACGTGAATTCTGTTTTTAGCCGAGTTTTCTACCAAAGCTCACATGAGGGTATTTTCAGCTGGCGCACAAGAGTATGCAGCATAAACTTTTTCGGACTTTGCCTGTAGCCACGCGCACCAAATGAGGTCGCAAAATACCGTTATAAATCGATATGTTATTTAAATTGGAAAGAAGTTCAGCTGAAATATATATAGAGACGAAAAGCAGCCCTCTCAGTTAAGAGCATTCATGACAGATCAGACAGTGGGTCCTTATTAATCCAGCTCAAACAGGCCTTTCAAAATTTAATTTTTTTAAGGGCGACTTTATAGTTTGTTAGGAACTATCTCCAATCAATAAGAAGAATATTCGACCGGAACGATCGCTCGAAAATTATGTTTTTGTATGAACGCACATACCTATTAAGCCGTATCCAATCGTACTATTCTATTATATGCCCCAAGTTTTAAGTCTACAAGGGTATTTAATTTTTGTCGTGTCGCAGATTGTGGTTTTTTGTTTGTTCTCAAGTGATCTTATAATCTCACAATCTTATATTTTACGAGTCTCCCCAATTTTATTATGTACTTTATAATAAATATACTATATATCTATGTCAACATAATTAGATGGATTTTAAATCCCATGTTTATTATTGAGAATAATTTTATACAATTTTGTTTTATTTCTTCTTCGGTAGCCACTTTTTTATTTCTTTAAAAATAAAAATAAATTTTTAAATAAATGCATTCAAGATGTTTTTAAAAAATGTTTGCAATAAATATGATCAGCAAGGGTATTTAATGTTCGGCATCGCGTAGCTAGCCAGGCATTGATAATGTGATGAAAGTCTCGTTGCAGCAGAGTAAATATTTGATTAGGTCTCGTCGTGTAGCATCTGCATTTGTGCACAAAATGAAAGATGAATGAATTTGTAGTCAGCATTCAAGTTAAACTAACTCACTTAATAGCTGACATTAACATTAATCATTTTGTGACCGACTGCTTTACTCAGTTGATTAGCTAACTCAAAATTGATATGTTTACTTCTCCATTCCAGCAAGCAAATCTCAGCCCAAGCCGTTCGGCGTGCCGTTTTGTAAGGTAAGTTAACCTGAACTCTTACTGGCTTTGAGTACAGCTTGGCGTATGCGTAATATGCCAGAATAAGTTAATATTACATACGCGAGCAATTTCATGAATTCGAAAATGCGTCATAACATGAAAAGAAAAAGAAAACGAGAAAAATAACCAACCACAAAAAAATAGCGTTAAATTCTCGCTCTCTCGGAACGCTTTGGTGCGATGCCGTCTATTTTATTTCCCTTAACCAGCAAATATGTTTGCGGTGTAAACAGCTCGGGTTCCCCATGGCTGGCCATAATATCCGTAGCGAACGATGTACCCGGCTAGAGCTGGTTCCAAAAATAAAAGCTGTCTTCATCCCGCCAGAGATGGGCTCGACTATATGAGGCTCGTGTGGCACTTAACAATATTTCGGCTTTAATTCGTATTTTGGCAACGTCACATATGGGAAAGTACTTCCCAAGCCCCCATTCCTAATGCCATCGGCAAACAATTGAGTGTGTCAGTTACTGTTTAATGATACCTACATACTTACATATGATGTTGCTGATGACGAAGAGTCGCTCGGCGAATCCAATCCGGGCCGTAGGCGGGGGTATACACTATCAAATACCCATTATGTTAGCCATTGGGCAGGGGAAAGAAAAAACATAATTCACAATGATTTTTCTCATCAACTCATAAACTGTTTACAAACATACGTCAATACACTTTGCTCACTTGCAGAGCATGATTCATGGCTGATGTCTGATTCACTTAGTTGCTGACTTTAGGAAATGTAAGGCATAATATTTACTATATAGAGCAATATGCATAATTGTGGATGCAACTACTGAGCACACAGAATTATCCAATTGGTTTATTCCGATTTCGATTTCGATTTGTCATATAAATTTCCCCATTTCATTCACATTTGAACTGCGCTATGTTTTATGGGAAATGCTTTATATATAAATCTTATTTGAATATGTTAGCTCATGGAAGGTTAAATTAACGTACAACATTTAATATAATTTGTGCTGCAAGATTTACAATAAATCTTTAGTTCACATTTCAGAAAATCACATTTATATGGAAGTTTCTCTTAATTGTGGAACATTTTCTTGATTACAATTATTTTAAATATTTTTTTATGTTTGTTTAAGCCATACAAATATTTTGAGAAAACAACAGAAATTAAGATAAAATAAAGAAAGGAAAATTGTTAATTCTATGGCGATTTTCAAGTCATTTGAATTATTTCAAAAGTAATCAAATAAAAGCCCAAGTATGTCGTATATATTAATAAGTCGTATATATTAATAAAAATAATAAAACATTATTAATAGTTAATTAATTTATACAAAATGTAAAATCTGAAAATTGTCGAAATTATATCAAAAAACATTATTCCTAGATTTACAGCAACATGAAAAAAATTAATAAATTCATGCATTCGATTTATATTAGCTTGATACAACTTGCCATTTCTTGCCTGGGTTACAGAGTATAACAACTAAACACAAAAACAAATATTGAGCTTTGAGTTTCTCGCTCGGTGATTTCCCTGAGCTGGAACCTGTCGACTGCCGGCTGTCAACTGCCAGCTGCCAGCTGCCAGTCAGCAGCTTTGCCGCCTGGCTTGTCTGTGGTCAGTTAGTCGAGCTAATCGAGCTGGTCGAGACGAGCCGGGACCGAGAGATCCGCTGGTTGAGCTCTGAGCGAGAGCTTTGCTTTTGGGGTATTTCCACATGGCGCATCAATTGAATTGGAGTTTTATTTTCGTGCCATGATTTTGGCAGGTGATGCACAAGCTACGTGTGTCTCTGACCGTCAGCTGGTTGGATTTGGGGCCGTTGTTGCTTGTTTGCTAAAAGCCAACTGACCGTTTAGTGAAGGCCCCGCACCCCCTCCTTCTGCTTAGGGGGGGCTTAGGCCAACACAAGTAGCTCTCGCTAGAATTGGCCGATTGATCACCGGCCTGGGCAGCATCCGCCTACAGTAGTTAGCCTCTTCAGCTCAAATTATAAAACACACAAGCGCAGAATCGTGTGTGCCTAGCACAACGTCAGCCTCAGCCTCAGCGTCAACGTCAACGTGAACGCCAGCGCCAACACATTGACTCGACGCTCTGACACACAGTCAAAGGGGCTGATAAGAAATCAACTGAATTGCCTGCTTATGAAAATAAAAACTAACAACAGGAACAGCAAAGCACATAAATGAAAACGGAAATGCAAGAAAAGTTGCTCAGTTAATCAAACAATTTAAGATTTATTTTATTTCGTTTTTTATTCGCCTCCAAAAACATTGCTATCAATTGATTTGCACTTTTATTGAATCGATAATGAGTTTTATTATCAAATCTTCAAAAACTAGAGCTATCTTCACATTTGATAGCATATTGGTTTAATTGATGCCAAAGTTGAATAGTCCTTGAGGACATATTTTGTTTCCCAACGATTGTTCCTGTGGGAGGCATACATTAGAAGGGTTTATATTGATAAGACAAGGTATGTGAGGAGAAGAGGAAAGCTGCGCTTGCTCAAGACTTTTTGGAAAACAGAAACCATTTCCATACAAAAACCTTCTTTTCAACTGATGTTGATAAGATGTTGCCCAAATGAGAGGAGTATGAAAAGAGTATTCAAGGCCAAGTTTGTTACAAATATCTTCACAAATGAAAAAGGCTGCTTACGCGAACTTAATCTAAAAATCTATATAACATATATTACCCGATCTGGCACGTGGCATGCATAAAATAAATTCTCTTAATGATCTTTGAAAATGAGTTTGAAACCGATCAGACGGCAAACAATAAACTCGCATGCTACCTTTTTGCTCAAATTTAAAACAGTTGTGAGTGAAATATTCCAAATCGTCGAAACACGTTTTTAGGAGGGAAACTGAAAGTAGCGCTGGCCTCGCAACTGAGAGACTAGCTTGCATAAATGACATGACGACACGATATCGACTTGACTGCTGATACTGATCTAGAATATATATAATTTATGAGGTCGAGGATGTCTCCTTCTGTGCGTTACACATTGCATGACAAAACTAGAATATCCTCTGCAAGGGTATAAAAATAGTTGATACAATACTTTTAAGCCTTTGACCATATGCTGGCAATAGCTACAGATATCTCAATATGAAAGATAAATTAATTTAATAAATAAATGATTAGGCAAATGTAATTTATAACAATTTGCTGGGACTGAGCTCTTGATGTCCGTGTTCGCGCAGGAAACTATTGTTTTATACGAAATATCGATGGTTAAACTCATTTAAATACGTTTGCACATAGTTGTCATATTAAATAAACATAAACATAAGCCTTTTGGACACTAGAGTGCCAAATGTATAAATAGTTGATTTGATTTCAATAAAACTTTTACCAATATTTGATTAGATCAGGATATAACTATATATAGTATTCAACAAAGCTGTTAGAATAGCTTTGTGATATTATAAAACGGATTTGACCGACTCCTGCTTTGAGATAGGGGCTGTACCTATGTTTGGAAACGAACTGGCTTCAGATAGGAACTCAATTTAATTTTCATTTATTGATGTACATGTTCCGTTAAAAATGCAACTTTTAATGATTTCTTTCCCATTTACCAACACTGTTTGCCGATCAAACTTGATAACCCGTCGCAAGCCAATCACATTATATATTTAATTGCTGATGATATTCTCATCAATTATGTCGCACAGTGCCACCTTAATTTGTTTTCCATTTACCAACACTGTTCGCCGATATAAACCTGATAAGCCGTTGCAATCATTGATAATATCACTTTTATGTATTTGCTGATGATATTCTTATCGATTATATCGCATTGTGCAAATATCTTGTCAGATTGCAAAGAATATGCTATCAGATTAGCCTAAAGGGTCACTTTTCCGTTATCGGCTTGGGTACTTGGATTGTTTTTGAAAGTGAACACATTAAGCCACTTTCACATAATATCTGAGACACATACGCAACAAACATGACTAATGCTGAAAAACCATAACATGATTTATAGTTCATTGGCAATGAGATTAATCAGAAAGTTAGCCGGAACAGGATCCGGAACGGGAGTGGGAACGATTCAATGAATGAAAAGCTTGCAGCTACTATTCCCCTTAATAGATGATCGCCGTCATTCATTCATAAATTGTAATCATTATGATAGGCGGATGTTAGATGAAATTTCGGAGACGTCACTACGCAATGTACAGGTCATTTCTAAATAAGTAACACTCGCTGTGAAGAGCACCCCTAACAAGCTTTCAGCGTCAGCTGGCAACTTCTTTGGGCCAAAACAACTGACTATACACAGATACACACGTATGCATGCATCTACATATATAGATAAGCTGGGAAGCGAGATAAGTTGATGTCGTTGGCGTTTCACACCGCATGTGCGAAAATTAGCAGCCGCAGTTTGTGCAATGTCATTGCCGCAACCAAGCTAGCGAAGCCTCACGGCAGAAAGGGGTGCGCAGGGAGCGCGGGCTTGGGGATTGGGCTTTAGGGGTAGGGTCAGAAGTAGCTGTCGTGGGTAAACAACAGCGCCGGCTCTTGCTAGTCATACACACGAACCAAAAATAGCAAAGAAAATGCACAGCTCCTCGGCCATTTCATGGCATATTTTTCAGATATTACACAGGCGCCTTATCTGCAAGCTGGTAATGGAAAGTAAAAATTATAATTGTGCTTATTCCGCATGATTTTTTTTAATTTTTTTTAATTTATATATGTTACCTTGTTTACGTAGAGGTTCCCCTTAAATATATAATCTGTATAACCAAAAAAGAACCGAGACATATTCGCTTAAGTTTAATCATTTTAAATCTGAAATAGATGTTTATTTTATTTAAAAAACACAACTATTATATTTCTAGTCATCTCCGAACGTAGTATAGTCAGACTGGGAACACTTTTTTGAAGTTTTCCTGCTTTCTTCTGAAAATTTGATTTTTGGTGTTTACATAAGTTTGGCATGTTTATGCTCTGAAGTGTTCAACAAGATCGGACAATAAGAACCGAAGCCATTCAAGAAATTATTTCCCATAATAAGGGGCAAAGGGAAATAGAAGCAAACACAAAAAAGAAGCTGGAATCCTTGTTAGGACAGATCGATACTCAATTCAGGCTACATCCTAGTCGGGCACTCCCGTCTGGCGACTCTCACGTGTTTCTGATTATGTTGGTTCTTTATTATTTACTAAGTAGTATAGAATGTTGCAAGTTTAGCTGGTCTCTTTTATTATTTTAAACATTCCTCTTTAGTAACAGTTTTGGCATTCTTTATTTGTGAGAGAATTTCTTTATACACATACACGGATCTCGATATTATTAGTAATAGTACATTATTATACCTCATTTTGTAACATCAAGTTATTATGAAGTTATTTTCAAGAATTAACTAGCCAGAATTAAGGGATGCGAGAAGCCAGGTCCGACCAACTGATGCTCGGGCAAGAGAATTCCGCGAGCGAACTCGGAGTTGCAAAGGGCGATGGCTTCTGCTCCGGCTGTGCGTATGCGTAATATGAGGTAACATTTTATAGAAGAGTCGATTGGAGTGGAATTAAATCGAAACGCCGGTTGCTGGGCTGCGTGTCTCTTATACTATGCACCTGGTATTGTCTTCTCTCTCTCTTTGTTCTTCTTCATGCCCACTTTACATACATAACTCAATATTGGCGTTTGCCAATTGCCGACTGTTGTTTAGTTTGCAGTTTGCACGCACAGTAAGACCGCGCGAATCGGAAATGCCAAAGCGGCTGAAGGCAATGCATAAGCAATAAATACCGGAAAAAAAAAAACAACAACAACAACAACATAAACATAAAAACAATAATCAAGAGTATTGAATGAGTGCGAAAAAAAAGTAAATTAAAGATGAATGTACAAATATTTCACTGAACACCTACATGATTTACCTGTGTATGTGTGTACAGATGTATCTGCATATGTGCACATGTAAAATATACAATGCATATGATATGTAAAGCAAAAGTAATATGTAAATATGTTGCTTGGGTTTTTGGCCTGCAAAAACAAATGTGTCCGGCGTGTGGCTTAGGTTAATGGAAATGGAAAATACCAGTTAGTATTTGATCAAGTTTATTAAACATTTTAAGAAATTTAACATACAGTAGGCCACAGAGCTTATCTGATAAGCATACAGGGTATCTGCTAGTCAAAAACAACTGTTATTTACGGCAAAATTGTAGACAAAATTGCCAGTATGAAGAGAAATCGAGAGCGAGAGCATGTGGGAGTGAAAAGAGGGGCGGCAGAACACAGAGACACGTTTTAAAAAATGCAGGTAAATAGTTGAACGGATGTACGGAAGTAGCCGCAAGCAGCAGCGGCAACAACAACAACAACAATAATAATAAATACAACAGGCTAACTAACTAAGAATCAATGAAATCAACATGCGGCAAAAACATTGCAAAATGCAATGTCACATCCGTTTTGGGACATGAAGTGTGCGCATAAATTAAAACGCTCCCAAAGAAAAGGAAGAAACTAAGCAACAACAACAACAACAATAACAACTGTGGCACTGTGGCGCTGTTGAGTCATCTTGAAGCGACAGCGACGTCAATAGCGTCTTTCTTAAGATTTAACCTTAAGCATAGCCCTATGCCAGCGCTTAAGCTTTTGCTGTCGCGTGCCAAGAATAGAGCCGCAGCCAGGGCGGGCAAAGTCAAAGTCAGGCAGGCGAAGCGTCGAGTACATACATACACGTTCTCTCCGTCTCTCTCATTCGCCAGCCACGCTTGCCCTGTATGTCGCCTATGTGTGTGTGTGTGTGTGTCGTGAATTACAGTCGCAATCGCAGTCGCAGTCGCTGCTTAAAGTTTCAATAAGGCGCGTGCGGCTGGCAGCAGCCGGACATCGCGTCGTGTAGTCTGCGACGACGCTGCTTGCTTGCCTGCTTTCTTACTCACATTCACACTCGCACTCACACTCACAAGCGCGTGCTCACACTCGCCGCACTCCATGCTCCACACTACACTCACATTTACTCTCACTCGCTCTCGCCCTCGCTCTGTCTGTTTTGGCGCACTGCGCCTGTGTGCTTGTATTTGTGTGTGGGTGAGTGTGCCCCACTCGTGTGCTAAGCGAACAACGGCCTCTCGGCTGGATTCGTCGTGTATTGTTTTTGCTGGCCGCAAGTCTGCGCGCGTGTATGTGTGGTCGCTTTGCTTACATATGATTGGCTGGTAATTACAGTTCGCCCAAATTGTCGTCATCACTTGTTGTCGTCACTTGTCGCCGTTGATATTGCTGTTCTTGTTGTTGTTGTTGTTGTGGCTGTTGTGGTTGTTTTTGTTGTTGCCCAAGATGCTTTCGTGTGTGTTTCGAGCTTTGCGTTCGGGCAGCGGCTCTCGCACGTTATTTATATGCTGCGCGCGCCACGAAATATTAAATAAGTAACAGATCTTGAAGAGTTAACTTGTGCCGGGTGCCCCGTCCACTCCAGTCCAACAGCAACTGTAACAGTAAACCATACACAATCCAATAGCAAGAGTCGCCAATAGTTCAAGTACTCGCGTTTTACTTGCGAATCCGTGCGGGAATTTCTCAATACTGTGTGTGCATAAAATGCCCAACGCAACAACAACAACAACAACGGCAACAGCAGCAACAGCAGCAACAACAATGACAACAAGGCTTAGCACATGCGGCGGATTCGTAACGCGCCGTATTAGCCAAATGCAAGCCAGAAACGAGCACAGGTCGTCTATTGCCACCGCTAGTCCCGTGTCCTTCGGCAATTGCCTGCGGCACGAACCCGTCTCGGTTGCAGCAACAATTGAAGCGCCAACAACAGCAGCAACAACAACTGCAACAGTCGCCTGCCAGCGTCTATGCGGCCTTCAGCCCTGCAGTCTAATGTGTAAGTTTGTGGCACGGCACGTGCTGCCTGTTGCAACAATTGCTGCGCTGCATCCAAACACAGCGCCAGTCACAGTGATTCACCCACCCAGCACTGAGCTGTTTCCTAATCAGATTTACTCACCCGCTATGTACGTCTATCTGTGTGTGTGCGTGTGCTTGTGTGTGGGGGTGCGTGTGCTTATGATATGACAGTTTATTTATTGGACTTCGCCGTAAAAAAGTCACGGCCGCTTTTGTTGCCATAGGTTTCGCTTAGAGTTGGGGTACGGGCAGTCGATGTTGCCAATTTTATGTAGGTCAGGCTTTGTCTTTCCCGAATGCCAATTGGAACGCACACGTCCAATTAGTCTCTCTAATAAGTTGACGAGCAGAGTAGGACAAACAGAAGGGAAGTTGTTTGAATTTGATTAGCTTATATTATGTCTAATTAAATTATTAGTATATGAAAAACAAATTCTTTGGAATCAATCCATACGAATCTTGGTAGTTTCCTTTGAGTCTGTTGCAGGATATATGACTGAATCTGATGCTGATCAGGCAGCTGATGATGTTCTAAAAACCTTAAAGTAATTAATTATGAATGTTTTCCAAGGATATTGTTGTTTCCTGTTGGTCCCGTCTTTCGAGCTTTCCTCCTTTGACGTGGGATCGATAACAATTATAAGGTTTAATGTTATTTATATTTATATTTATGTTATTTCATTAAAAGTATTATTCATGCGTAATCGAAATGTAAGCTTCGTTAAGAACTTCACTGGTTTTTCAAGTTTAAGCTGTTCTAAGTAACAATTTCTTGCTGAACTTTGCTTTTTGCTTAGTTCTGTTGCAATTCCAATAGGTTTTTTTTTTATGGGCTACAAAATGAATTCAATACTCATTTTTTTATTTGCATAGTATACGATTCCGATTAAGATTCTATGAGCTTTTCGTATGATACAAATGGCTAATATCAAAAATCGTTGTCGCCTTAAGCTTAAGTTTATGCATTGACAATTCCACAAGTTGTTGAACTTATATTTGAATTTTTCAATTGCAGCTAGTGGCAACTATTGGGTACTCGGTGCACTGCTGATAATACTGACCGCCAGCTGTCTGCCCAGCGCGATCGCGTCGCCTCGTCGCATGGTTGGTCGACACTTGATACTGCCGCATCGCCATCACGTGCATCTGCGCTCCGCGGGACAGGAGCATCATCCGCCGCCAAATAGATTCATGAACTGCATGGTGGGAATGAATGTGACCGAGGCGAGTACCGCACATGCGATAATTGTCAGCGAGGAGACACGTAATGCCACCATTGATCTGCTGGAATCATGGGTGAGTACACTTAACCGCTGCAGAGTCAGGAGTACGGTTCACTAACTGGTTCTCCAATCTGTTCGTTCTCTTCCCGGTACAGCTGCAGTTGAAAGACTTCAACTCAATGGAGGAAGCCAAGCGGCAATATAGACTGCATGATCTCGACCTGGAGTATCCGCTCAAAGAAGCTGCCAACAATAGTGACTACGACGGCGAGGACAGTGAGTCCCCGGAAGTAGAGCTCGAAAAAATATTCGAATCGCTAAGCAAACTCCGTCAGCTGATGAGCCACATCAACAAGTTCTTGCCCAATGATTGGTACAAGGACTACTTCAATAGCTTCGAGGACAAGCTGGAACACAACATGTCCGTGGCCGCCAATATGCTGGGCATACAAAATTGCCCCATGGAGCCCACGAATGAGGTGCCCGCGCACAGGCACAATCATCCGCTGCTGGAGTTCGCCATTGTCGAGGAGATGACCCGGCTGCTGAATGTGCTGGAGAAAAAGTATAGGGTCATGCATCGACGTGTGATGGAGGCTGCGAATGCCTAGAACTTTGTCACAGACGAAGCCCTAAAGAACGTACAAGCAAATGCCAAAAAATAAGAAGAAGGAGAAGAAGAAGAAGCAAAAGATAAGGGGGAAAAACTAATCTAAACTAAGCAGCATATCGAATTCTAACGCAATTTTTTTGCCTTACATTAATATTATTATTATTATTTTTTAATCCTGCATGCCATCTATGTTTACTAATAGCCTGTATTAGTTAATACTGAACCCTCTCACCGCTCACGTTGATTATTTATTTAATATTATTTAATTTAAATATATGTATACTATATATATATACTTTTTATGCGCATATACGATATAGTTATTTGTCAATTTTCATCATTTGTTATTATTTATGCATTCATTTGATCGTCTGAAAAATTGTATTTATTATGTTTAATTAATTTATTCATTTCAAATTCCTATTGTTACTCGAAAACGCCTTAAATCTTAATGTTTTTTTTTTTTCTGTCGCTTTTCTTCTTGTCAGCTATAAGCCCCAAGTATTATAAAATAATAAACGCAATTTGCGACTTTACTATAAAAACTTACTTCAATCCGGAATTTTGATATGTTGTGCAGATGTGGGAATCATTTATTTTACATTATGTTCGTAGAGGGGTCTGAGATGTCGCAATCTGATGGAACTGCGTTTGTTTAGAGCACGGGACAATATATGGATCAAGTCTGACCAAAATTTCAGAGGATTAATGAACGTATGGAAACGGCTTAAGATTTAAGATATATTTGCAAAAGAAATGCCGATATGGTTAATAAGTAGCAGCTCTTGAAGATTCTATGAAATTGAAATCGAAATTGGCAACAACCCACAATTAATATTGCACAGATTTAGGGCTTGAAATGACACATTTATGTTTAAAATGTAAAACATTTTAATTCAAATTGTTGTACATTTTGTTGTGGAATTTCCGCATTCGCATTTCTGTGAAAGCTTCTATTGCTTACTTTTTGTGCATGTGCTTAAACTTGTTTCAAGTATTTCAATTGCTTGGCGAAAGAATTTCAGAAAAATTCAAGATGGCGAGAAGTTTAACTGCAAATCTATGGTGAACTGTAGTCGCAGCTAATATTTCCGGTTTGCTGTCGATATGCATACTCCATTTGCCTGGCAACAGTTGTTGCTCTAAAATTGGCGACAAATCAACGGCAATTGCCTTGACCCACCCACAAAAAAGCTCGAGAAATGTGTAACATAGCGCAAGCACGTTCCATTGATAGGAATGAAATAGACATTCACATACACTGGCAAATGCCAGTGTGCGTGTGCGTGTGTGTGTTGCCCGTGAAAAACCCCGAACTGTATGAGCAGGTGAGTCAGTGGGCTATTAAAATACTACAATTGCGCGGAGCAGTGGAGTAGGCAGAGCAGGCCCCGAAAGTGCTGCGATTGTATACACACACACAAACACACACACAGTTGGAGTAGCGCCGGCGCCATTGGCGCAGACTGTCATTGATTTACCGTTGCGCTGGTCACACTTCGCTGGCTTCACAGACTGGATTCTGTCTGGGCATCCTGTGCATTGGGCTGTATCGCTTTAATCGGTAATCGGATCGATCTGCGGTTGGCCGCTGCGCGTGGCTGTCGGCGTCTACGTCACCGTTGCCAAATCACAGCCACGCTCTCATCTCTCGCGTCTCGTCGCTCGCCACTCGAGTGTCTCTCTGCGGCTAATTAGAGCTAACTGTTTACCCGAGCGCGTGCCCATTGAGTCAGCAACGGCAGCGACGCAAGCGCTGACAGCGCTGGCTGGCGTTTTATGAATGAATTCAACGAGCCGCAAGCTGCAATGTGGCAGCGACGCCGGCAGCGGCAACAGCAGCAAGGGCAACAGGTGAGCACAAAACGTGAGCGAACGTAAACAGAAAGCAGGTTCTTTCCACTTTTCCACTCACTCACACTTCGTACCGTGCTCACTCTCGCCGCCACGCGGCTCTTGCGCTCACTGAGAGCGGCCGACTGAGCGCGCTGCGAGTGCTGTCATTGGTCCGCTTGGCTGCCGTTAATATATCAGCTGAGCGCAATTCGTACTGTCTGCCCACCAATAGGCAAGGCGACCCACACAAATTCAGATACTTACTACACGCACACACACACAAGTATACAGAGGCCACAGTTGCTCGCTCTCCCTCTTTGCCTGTCTCTCTCTCTCTCTCTCTCTCTCTATATGTCTTGCTGGTTTTGACGCCCTAAATGCAGGCACTTGCTGCATGGGATCTGAGTCAAGTTCAATTATTGGAATTAAGCTGGGAATTCCAATGCGGCCAATTTGAACGTTTCGTGCGGGCTACAATAACAAAACACTTCGATATTTTTATCGTATCTGACTCCAATGGATTTTCCAGTCTTTGCCACGACGTTAGAGGGTTAGCTATACTCCTTGGGGAGCGCACTTTCTGGTGTTAAAACCCCAGCTAGCAGTTTAAGTTTGAACAACAAGCTCTTGAAGTAGACTGATTAGCTCGATTAGACCGTTGGGTAAATTAGCTGCAATAACTATGTGAAATTCGTCGTGTCTAAGATTTGAAACATTTTAATAAAATTTGAATCGTTTTAATTTAGATTTGAAATCAAACATCAAAAATCAAACATCAGTTGAAGAAAGAAATATAAAGCTTGAATAAAGTTTATATAACGTATTTACATTGAATAATAAATAGTAAGTATTTATTTCATATTTTGATAGAGTTTTTGAAAATTACAAATTCGTCAGTTCAGTACAAAGTGTCTTTTAATTGGATTCCCATTTAAGAATTTTCGTAATCATTTCAGGCCCATCCACAACGAATTCCAATTGCAACGCTAATTTGGCAAAATAAACAGCAGCGATAACAACAACAACAACAACAACAACAACGAAAACAAACAAACAAGCCAATCGACTAACCAACCGTTTCATGCCATTGCCGCCTGTACAATACACCTGAAACATGGACTCGATGTGAGAATTGCAGTAAAAATCATGATAAAGCGAAACGATTTTACGCATAATCAAAACAGCACTAGCCTCTAAAAACTCACACCTCGCTGCAGTTGTTGCACACGCACACCCACAAATTTACACACACACACACACACGCAGTTAACATAGAAAATGCCCCGAAGTAAGGCAAAGCCTGAGGGTTGGGCTCGGGATCGGTTTTGGTTTCGGTTACCGATTTGGTCGGTCTCTGTGTTTGGGACAGGAGCTAAGCAGCGTGTAATGATTATACCCTAGCACTGCGCTCGCAACAAGTCGTTTAGTGCATGGTCAACAGGTAACGACAACGCTTAACTTTAAATTATAACATAATAATAATTAGAAGTAAAAAATGCGTAGAAGACAAGACTCAAATAAACGTGAATATGCATTGGATATTAGAATATAATATTCAATTAAATTTAAAAATAAATAAGATATACAAATATATTTTAAATAAAATGTATGAAAAATTAAACACCGAACATAAAACACGTTAAAAAAATAATATAAATAAGATACTGATAAGATATTGAACACCTTAAAATAATAAAGGTGTATATTTTTATGAGAAACATCTTGGCAAATTTAGTAATAATAAAAATAAAGTATCATATAATATAATAGAGAAATATAAATATTTAAAAATTAAAGAAACATACATAATATATTTAAGAGATCAAAAATGATTAATATAAAAAATCAAACAATATAACACATTAGTTTAAAATTGTATCAAAACAACTTGACAAATTTAGGAAAATTTTAAATTAATAGATACATATATATATAGTATAATATAAAATAATATAAAAAAGGATTGGTTTAAAAAGGATAGAAACTTATAAGTAATATTTAAAAAAATAAAATAAAAATAAAAGAAAAAACATTAAAATAAGACTTCATCAAAATATTTGGACAGTTTGGGAATAGTGTAAATATAAAATAATATAAATATATAAATAACATAAGATAAGATAATATACTTTAATATAATATATAAAAATATATCGTATAAATTAATATAATAGAAAAAGAAGGCATATTTAAAAATCATAGAAACATATAAAATATAAATAACAAAAGGGTATTCAATCTTCATATGTGGCAGTAACAATTACAGGGCATAATTTAGTCGAGCATTGCGCGCTGGGCTCGTGCTCGGTTAACCATTGACTGGCCAGCCCCGACCGGTGCGAGGTCGAGGAAGGTGTTCGCTGCTTGGCGTTGTCTGTGGCAATTTGAGCGTATCCTTTCGATTAGATACGGCCGGTAAAAAAATTACAGCATGACAGCGGACCGGGGACCGGGGACCGCACACAACAGCTCAATTTTGTAGCAAAATATTTTGTTGTCCAGAACGAATCGCAACTAAAACAGTGTGAGCGACTGCGGCGAGGTCAGCACGGGAATGGCAATGGCAATGGCATCGGGAATGGGAATGGGAATGGGCATTGCACACGGACTCATTGGCAGCCGTCGGATCCTTTCGACGGGGCGTCCTGCCGCGCCTGCGCACTCTCTGTGTGCAGACAGCAGCAGCAGGAGCTCATCAATGCAATAATCGTGTTTGTTGTCCATGTAGATGAAGATGTTTTTGGTGCGAATTGGACACATTCAGATACGGATACAAGCATAGATATGTGTATAGATGCACCCAAGGGACGGCATACAAAGGCTGCTGCCGTCTTGATATATGTACCTCGCAGCGAGTCCTGCGAGTGCTGTGTGTGCGCGTGTAATGGTGTGTGTGTGTGTGTTTGTGTTTGTGTGTGTGCAAGTCCTCTGTGTGGCGCGCGGCGAAAATCAAGGCGAGTGCCCCCGCTGCGCGACACGGCTGCTTCCTGCTGCTGCTGCGCGGCCAAGTCAACAATTGCACTTACGGTTAGACGCAGGATTCTCTGGCCTTCTGGCCCTCTGGCCCTCTGGTTCTCGCCGGCTCCCGGCCATAGGCCCAGCAGCCATGGCCCGTACCCGTACAGCTGTTCGGCCAAACAATGTGGACATAATTTTATAACAAAGTCGCACAAATCAAAACAAAAAAGCAACTTAATTTAATTAGCTCGTCAATTGTCCCACAACGCTCGTGATTTTCCAAGTGTCCGAGGTAGATGGGGCAGAACCCTCGAGTCCAGGTCATTTTTGAATTAGGCGACTGCCCAACAATTCAGCTACCAGGTACCGCCACTTAGTTGGGGCGTTTGCCCTAGGTAACAGCCAGATTTGCAGCTAACCAGAAAATTGACCTGCTGCCATTTGCAGCTGAGAAATTGGCCAAGCAGCTGTAGAGCATCAGATATAAATATGCAAAACGTGTGCTAAATCAATCAGTGCACTTTAAACTGTTGATTCGAGGTGAGTGAGTAGCAATACCTCAGCGAGAACCGAAGACAAATATTTCTCTGTGAAGTGAATATCCTTTTCTAGCGAGTTTTTTCTTTTAGTTAAGCACATATTTTGGGCAGAATACTAAATTTGGCTTCTAGGAAATTTCTTTTAACCATATAAGAAAGGTACATAAAAGTTGAATGCATAATATGATTTTTGGTTATAACTATTCCAGCTATATGGTAATTTGTATTGATCCGATACTTCAATAACTTAAATGATTAGATATGTCTATATATAGGTTAAATAGGCTGTGATTTACAGAGGTTTTTTCTATTGCCTAGTTCTTTAAGACCTATTCTCATATTATTATAATGATCAGATCATATACATTTTGAGCTTGAAGTTTTAATAAGTATTATGTATGCTTCATAATTTTTATATTATTTATATATTAGTATTAGTGGGTATATATTCGCATAAATATTATTTCTTTTAACCATATAAGAAAGGTACATAAAAGTTGATGTGATTTTTGGTTATACCTATTCCAGCTATATAGTAATTTGTATTGATCCGATATTTCAACAATTCAAATGATGATTAGATATGTCTATATATGTATTTATAGGTTATATAGTCTGTTACTTTCAGAGGTTTTTCTTTTGACGAGAATCGAAATATATTTGGGAACAAAAAGATAAATGGACAAATTCCGGACCTAGTGGCAGTCGATGTTCACAAATCATATACAAATAATAAATGGATCAGCACATCTAAACAGGTTTTATGATTTTAATTTATCTATCATATATGACAAAATCTTAGCAAAATCTAGTCTAATTTTATTTCGAAACTATATATTAAGATAATACATATGTAAATATAATTTAGATATTCTCAGCATAATCTTTTTATTTTAACTTAAAAGTATCTAACTTGACTTAAAAGACTTGTTGGATATTGATCAAACAAGGAACAGCTTTCAGCTGTCTTAAATTGTTTTTTTTACTTATATCATAGATCATGTGAGGATTTGGCGAAAATACTTTTAGGTATATTGACTGGACTAATTCATACATTTATAATGTGTTAACTCTATTTATTTGAATTCAGGAAGTTGAGAGAGTTTGCTGAAAATGAAACTCTTCAGACAAGAAAGTGTACGGACACCCAGGGCAAACGAGGCGAGCTCTGCATACTTTGCGGCGTCGAGGCTTCAGCTGTTGCTTAAGCTCTGGCTGATGGGCAGGTAAGTTGGCTTTAGCCCAGTTAAGGGCTTCGTTTAACTGGCAAGCCAAGGTCGTCGAGCGAGATAGACCGGAGTATATCTTGCTGGAGAGTGTGGCGGAGACAGACAGAAAGCAAGAGATAGTGAGAAAGAGAGCTGTGTGTAGAAACAGGGAGAGAGAGAGAGAGCTTGAAGCAAAAAGAGATGAAGTTAAAGAGTGTAAAAGAGAGAGAGAGAGCTGTTGCATTGGGGCAGGCGTACGGCCAGGTATATTGCCTGATTTCTATGAGAACGCTTTGAGTGAAATCTTTTCATTGGATAAGTGGAAAATGAGCCTGGTGCCTATCAACACAGCGATGGCGACAAGCACACACACACGAACACACACACACACACACACAGACACGCGAGCGCCCGAACAGGGACCGGCTTAAAAAGTGCTCGACTAGCTGTTGGTTGGTCTGCCATTCGTTGCAACTGTGTGTGCGTGTGTGTGTGTAGGATGGATATCAGGTACACGCAGGCACACAGTCATTGGTAAAGAGCGGGGCAGGTCCAGACAACACTCGATCAGGCCTGACAGGCAGGCAGACAAATGGAAATGGACTGCCAGGCAGCGCTCCTCACGCACACACACACACACACTCACATGCAGGCACACACAGAGTCAGAGGCCCGACCCGACTCTCGACCCGGCCGGGCCGGCCCGGGCCGGGCCGGGTCTTCAGTCTTCAGTTTTCTTTTACGTACCGTTCGTTTTTCACATGGTCTTTTGGCTCTGGCTACGACTGACGTCGCGTCGGTCGCTTCGGTTTCGGTTATCGGGTCTCTGGTATCTGGTCTGTGGCTGTGGCTGTTGCTGCTGCCGCTGCCGCTGCTGCTGCTCAACAAAGAAAGCTGGTCGAATTTAGCGCAACTTTTGGTTCAGTTCGGTTTTGTGCCTGGACGTGAACAGTAGTGCACGCGAGAAGTGTTCTTCAGTCTCCCCACAAAGGAAACTAACAGCCAACCAATAACATCAGCAGCGGCATAACGTATATGAAAAACCATATAGAAAACTTTTGCGTCAAACATTTCTTTTTGTTCAAGTGATTTTTCGTGTGTTAAACCCAAGTGCAACAACATCAAATACAAATACATCAAATAATAACAAGAAACAAACAACAAAACTGGATTATACTGCAAATTGTTAATAACAATTTCGCCTGATCAACTTTTTAACTATAATGCGGTGTGTGTATTAGTTTTGTTTTTATATCTATATTTATATTTATATATATATATATACTTAATTAAGAAAAATAAACCCTTTTAACATATGTCCTAAGAACTTAACTCGAAATGGCATTTGGGAAATGTTGTTAAGTTTCAGTTTTTAAAATATATTTTGCAATTGCCAGACAATACTTTTTAAATTTACAAAACTGATTTGTATATTGTTTTCGAAAAAGAAATTCGTAATTTTCAAATAGCTACGATATGAAAACTGCGCATGCGCAACGCGCAAGCAATTGCAGAATCGTGTAGAACGCATTGAAGGATCGTGAAAGATTTTCAAATATTTCAAAAAAAAAAAAAGAAGAAAAATAATGAAATAAGAGAACAGAACGAACAAATGTGTGTAGCTGGCCGGTTTTGAGATTCCATTCAATATTGTCGATTTAAGAATTGAGTTAGCTGTTATAAATTCAAAGTTTTTGTAAAATATATAAAGCGGAACATTTGAACGCACCAAAAAAATAAAAAAAAATGTTACAAATTCTAACAAAATTTTTGAGATACAAGCAAGTTGCATTGCTGTTGCATTTGCATTGTTGAAGGATCGATAAAAAAGAAAAACGTCCTGTTTCAATATTATATAACCCAGCGACAACAATTCTTGCCATGTTAATCACTTGATATTCATTGTGTGTGTGTTTATTTTTTCCTCTTTCTGTTCTCTTTTGCATTTTTGCCCAAAAACACAATATTTTTTTTTTATTTTTCTTTTGGAATTTACTGTTACGAAACGCTTTTGCATTTTTGGCAATAAACCTTTTTTGGCCCATTGAACACACACGATCAAAAATCCCAATAAAATCATAAAATCTTAAAATTATTAAATATTCATACAAATCATAATAATAACGCAACAAAAATATATATTGTTATATCTACCAAATAGTTGGTTGCCATTGCGCTGCAACCAAAGTTAAAGGCACCAAGACGGCATCGCCAACGGCAATCACCACAAGGACAACGCCAGCAACGGCAGCAGCGCCCCGTATCAGGCAAAGACTTCAGCGTATCGCGCGGCAGGACAATGCGGATATGTGGTCCACTCTGCTGTTGCCACTGCTGCTGCTCCATTTCGTCTATATGCATGCCGCACTGGCCATGGCCACGGCTAGCGGCGGTCTCACTGTAATCGAGGGCGCCAGCACCAGCAGCAGCACCAGCTCCACCACCACCAGCACCACCAGCGCCACCAGCAGCATGGCCCTCTCCACGGCAACCGCTGTGGCCGCCTCTGGTCAGCGGAAGCGGCATCGCAAGCGGAATAGCAGCTGGTATGATTATCGCAATTACAACGAGAATACCACGGCGCTCGAGTGGATGAATCCTTGCGGCGGCTCCTACTATACATCATCCGCCACAGAGCGACGTCGCGCCCAGCGGCCCAAGCAGGTAACTAACATTTGGCTAACGGCAGCTCCAGGCTTCATTACTCAACCTCTCTCTCTATCTCTCTATCTTTGTCTCACTCTCGCTTAGATCTTCAACCAGTTGAAGCGCGCCGCCGGCACCGAGTACCGCGAGCTGAACAGCACGCAGGAGCATAAGGGCATCGATATTGGGGATATGCAAGTGTGGTCGCTTCACAAATACAATTACAAGTTTCTGCCCAAGCTGAAGCCCAATTCAACGGTATGTATCCTTCACTCCCTCTTGCTATCAACCCCACTCTCTCCCCCTTAATATCACGAAGCTCGCTCATGCGCCATGTTCTCTTTTTCTTTCCCCATCGTTCGCTCTCTCTCTCTTTCTCTCTCTGGTAGATCGCCCTGAAGCGCTGGTACCGCAACATGCAGACCTATGTGGCAAGCTTTGCCTATTTGCGCCGCGTTCAAGTCAATTGGGATCGGCAGTATTTGAAGCGAGAGTCGTCCGTTGCCAAGGAGCTGAAGAAGCTGCTGCTCAGCTCGCGCAGCATGCTCTGCGAGCTGGAGACGGCGGTGAATCGCACCTATCCGGCTCCGGTGGCAGCTCCTGGCCGTGGGGCAGCCAAGCAGCGCCGCTTGATGCAGCTGCCACAAATCTCGCGCAACGACATGAACAGGCGGCTCAAGTTGCGCAGCAAGCGTCGACCCGGGGCAGCGGCAGAGACAACGACTGAGGCGGCATCAGCGGCAGCGGCAGAGGCAGAGGCAGCCGCAGCAACTACAATCGGTGAGGCAGACTCCATGGATATGCGCTTTGTGAAGCATCATTATTACGAGTTTCTGCGCACCATGTGGCAGCTGCTGCGGCGCGACAGCAAACGGGAGCGCCAGCAGCGGCGTCAGCGACGCCAGCGGCGCCAGCAGCGGCAGCGACAGCAGCAGTCGCCGTTGCAACTGCAACAGCACCAGCAGCGACAGCGACAGCGCCAATGGCAGCAACAGCAGCAGCTGCAGCAACCGCGGCTACAGCTATCGCTGGCCATGGCTGGCAATCGCAGGGAGTTCAACGAGGTCTCCAAGCCCCAGCTCGATGTGCCCAGAGGTGTCAACGGGCGGCGCGGCAAGCGCCAGCAGCCGCCGCCCTCAGCATCTGCATCAGCGTCAACGTCAGCGTCTGCGTCAACGTCAACGTCAGCAGCAGCAGCAGCAGCAGCAGCAGCAAACCAGCGACAACAGCGCCGCGTGCTGCGCACGTGAAAACTCCACAATAATATTATGTATATTAATCCTAAATGCAACCCTTAGCTCGCCTAGTTTAAGTAAATTATTTGATGGAGTTTCCAAAACAAGTTACTCCAGCTCTTTCTATAGACCCACGCAGGCTCCCTCTCGCTCGCACTCGCTCTCGCTCTCTCTTTCTCTTTGTGTTTGTTTTAAGTTTTATTAGCTTATGCCCAAAAGTTATTTATTTATTGAAATTCAAATTCTAATTCACGGCTTATATTTAAATATAAGATAGTCCTAAGTCCTAGGCTCGCCAGACTCTCACCCTCTCTCGCTCTCGCTCTCGCTCTCGCTCTCTCACTCTCAATGTCTCTCTCATCAGCTCAGCAGTTGCCGTTCTAGTCACATATGAGCAACCGCAGCAAAGCAATCACATTCCATATACATTCCAGATCCTAACATTCCACACACATTATCAAACCCCATTTGACATCCAAACCAGATCGAAAGTATTACAAAGTGTTTTCTCCACTTTTTTTTTTTTTTTGATTATTATTTTTTTTTAGTTTGTAAGCTAAATTATATATATATATTTTTTTTATATAGTTAGTGTACGCACTTTTTTTTCTTAGTTATAGATTTTGTTTAACTGTGATATAGTCGTGAGTGTTAATCGCAAAATGCTTTGCTAGTTTGTATCTTTTTTTGAATATGAGCATATGAAATTGTAAATAGATAAGTTAAAACACACACACACCATTTTTTTCTATATAAAAACATATGGTAAGCTGCGAAAGATAGCAAATAATAAATGCAAAAATTAAAAGAATAATAAAAATGGAGTTTTGCTGGAAATTGATGGAAGTTTTGATTCGTAACCTTACAATTTACAAAGATCAATTAAGGTAAGTTACTTTCTCTGATAAATCGCTGAGAAATTTATGATTCTTTAACTAATCTAATCTAATTTTGAATGTGGCTAGATTTTAATCGACAGCAAGTTTTCTATGAGATTATAAACAAAGAATTGATGGATTTACTAACATTATACAGAATGCAAAAGCTGTAAAAAGAAGTTTTATTATTTTTATTTCGTTTTTTGGGCTATATCATGACAATGGACATAGTTTAAAACGATTTAGTATTTATTTCAATTATTAGGTAAAAGGTCTGACATCGAGGCCATATTTAACTGATAAAAATTAATATTTAGCTGGCCGGCTCAAGTTTAATGTTAGTTTTTGTCCCTACACCCTGTTTGGAGCCTTAACTTGTTGAGAATTGCAAGCGTCTACAATCAAAAGCAAGGCCATCGCCGAATTTTTAAGGGCTTACATGTATCGAAGTTGTTCAAAGTTGTTTTATGGTTATTGATTTTTATTATTATCATATTATTAAGCATGGAAACAGCTTAGACAAAACCACATCCACATCCATACACAAGCCAGAGGCTGGAACCCCAAAAATCGTGGCATCTACAGTCTCGGCTTGCACTCCTCTCGAAATTCTCGATCATTTTCGAAACCTATCGAATGTTCTAGCAAGAAATCTGTCGAGCTTTGGTTAATATGTTAATAGTAGATCGCAGCTCGGTTTTCAGTCCAAAATGGTTGGCCAAAAAGTTGGTTTGGCTGCCTGTTTCTATTTGGCTTCCTTTTGCGCTCTACTTATTTTATGATCATGTCGTTTGCTGCAGCGTCTGTAGCGCCCCTTTAATATTTATGTGGGGTCCACTGATCGTTTGTCTTTATGGCAGCACTCTGCAACGGCCAAAAAAAAAAAAAAACACAGAGAGAAGCCTTCCAATTGTGCACAGTTCAGAGTTTTATGATCTTTGGCAGCGGCGTCAAACTATTAGCACTTGGTGCCCAGCACGCGCACCCGGCGGGACAGGCAGCTGCATGGAGTCGGACTCGGACTCGGTGTCGAAGTCGGAGTCGTTGTTAGAGTCAGCTTGCCGTCCAACGCCTCCACCTGCCTACCTGGCCGCTGTACATTTGTCGATTGGCGGGCAGGTGAGCTCAATGAAAACGTCAGCGTCTCATTGGCCTTGAGCTGGGCCACAAGCACAGGCATCAGACATCAATGAGCCAGTTGAGGGCAGCTTGCAGCAGATCTTGTGGCTCACAGTAGCTTAGTTGATCTGAGCCAACTAACTCAATGAACTTTGGCAAGTGCTTGGCTTTGGCTGAGCTGCCGTTTAGCTGGGCTAAGTAGCCCACAAAGTAAGTGCTTGGCACTTGTTGCAGCTCCTCGCTGTCGATATCGATGTTAAATATACATATGTATATGTGAATATGTGTGTGCAATAAAACATAATCCATGCTTTGTTTTAAAAGCGGCTTTACGCAAATTTACTTTTTAATACCTTGGCTTATTGAGCCTAGTATTGAGCCAAGCTTCGTTTAGGGCGCTTAGTGGCACCTTTAAGGCCAAGATCCTATGCGGGGATTAGCGCGGCCAAAACGGAAGCTGTTTCGACTGCCATCAAAAGCAATTGCTGCTGCTGCTGCTGCTGCAGCGGCGGCTGCTGTTCATGTTCTGCTGACCAGGGCCAAATGTTGACATACAAATGGATTACAGACCGGACCTGCCACACACTAACACACACATACACAGCAAAAATATTTGAATATTATGATGCTGCCGCTGTGGCTAAGCCGTTTATTGATTGCAATCGAGCGGACAGTGGACAGCGGACAGCGGACAGCGGAGAGAGCAGGCAGCGGCCAGGAAGCTGGCCGTGTTAGTTAAGCCAGGAGCGGAGGCCCTAAGCCGAACTGTGCTCAGTGTCAAGTGTCCCCGCTCTTGACCGTTGGCCCAAAAGGGTCTCGGGGCCTAAAGTAGGTGTTGTTATGTTTTTAGCTGTCATAAATATTGTAAAACTTCGTAAATATTTAAACAGCGTGCACAATAAAGGCAAATGACAGAGGCTCGCTCGGGTTTATGGGTTCGGGTTCGGGCTCGGGCTCGTGTTTTGGGTTCGTGTTCAGTTGGCTTGGCTGCGACTCCTGGCTCTATTATCCTGGCCTGGTCATAACGGTGGTTGCTTTGTGGCCGCCACGCAGCAAGCGTGCGAGCGAGCGAGAGAGAGAGAGAGCTGCTTGCTACCTGTATACATGTGTGTGTGTGTGCTTGTGTTTGTTTTACTTACCTCTGAAATTTGAATATGTCCAGAACCGGGGCCGGTGCTAAAGATTAACAACATTTAATAACCCATCATTTCTCGGTGCATTTTTCGGCTCGTCCCGTTCCATTCGGTGCCTTTGTGCAAACATTTTTAGCCAAAATGCAGATAAATGCATTTTGTGTGTCGTCTTGGCCCGGCCTTTGTTTCCACATACTGTGTGCCATGTTCTCTGCAACTTTTTGCCATTGTCCTTTTTATTTTACAATTTTATTATTATTTCTCTTCTCTTTTTTTATTGTCTTCCTGCACCTATTTCCTAGAAGAGTCCACTGTTCTGGCCCGCACCGAAATTAAGAGCGCTGCCCCGAGACAGCGCGTGTGACAGTCTCCGATAGCTGCATCCTTGTGGCTGGCTGCCAGACACTGGCAACAATTTGTTTAAACGCCGCCCAAGTGCCAAATCAATTATAAGATTCTCTTTCTCCCACGCGAAACAATTCAATTAATTTGCCGTTATTTTTTGCTAATTATTCTAGATAAAGACCGTAAGTTTATTGAAACATTTCACATTTGCTACTTTTTGTGTAATTTCTTTCAACATTGCATATATTTCGAAAGATTCTTTTTTGTTTGTTTTTGACAACCACGCGAGCCACTTTAAATACTTTTATATACTCACATTTTTTATTAAATATGTAATTTGTTATGATATTAAATATATTTTAAAAGTAAGTTTCTTTTTTTTTTGGACAACCACGCGAAAAACTTCAAGCAGTTTATTTTACAATAATTTTTGCTGTTTTTTTTTTGTTTAAATATTTTTTTTTTGCAAATTTTTCTATTATTACTGTAATATTTTAATAATATTGAATGCATTTTGAAAATATTTGAATATTATAATAAAAGCATTGTTATTTTTGTTTTCGTAATTATTTTTATCATTATTTGTATCAATAATATCATTAATAATATCATTTTATATTTAATAACTTATATATATAATTTAATATTTTATATTTTTTTTTATTTATGTTTTATGTATTAATATTTTCCTGAACACTTTCATGAATATTTTGCACTTAATTGACGCTGCTTGACTTTATTTCGCGTTAATTATTTGATGCACTTATGTTATTTTCATCATTCAAACTGAAACAATATGAAATACTTATAGGGAGACTTTCAACACTTATTCCGATATCTATATTCATGGACCGTGCTGAAAGCTATTTCAATTAGTTAAATCGCCGCTTGGCGATGTTTACAATCAGCTTCAATCAATTTGTCAAATTGCGCGTGTGATATGCATTTTAAAGTGCTGGCGTTCTATTAATTGTTATTATTAGGGCTCTTATTGTTGATATTATTAACGTACTCAGATACCCTGTACACATTGAGAGTGCATAAATTGAGAATCCAAACAAAATACTCTTTACTGATTGATATAATTGTAAGTACTTTGCTTTTTAGGTGTTTACTTTAAAAGCTGGAGTTCAGAGAATTGTTAAGTGGGTTCTTAAATACCTAATGCAGATATATAAAATAAAAAAAAAAATAATAATAATGATAATAATAATACTAATGATAATACTTATAATAATACTAATAATAATAATAATATTTATAATAATAATAAGTATCCATTTTATAATAATATTTTTAATTTTATTTTAATCAGCTATTCAGATGATAAACTCAAAAGAGAGTATGCTTTCAGCTAAGTGCAGGGTATGTGCTAGTCAAGCGCATTAAAGCTTGGCTAATCTAGTTGTTTATTATAGTTGTTATTGTTAATGTTATTTTGAGGGCAGCCGGCCGGCTTAAAATATCCCGACTTTGATTGCCAGACGTGACACAGTTGTTTATGTTGTTGTTGTTGCTGTTGTTGTTGTTGTTGTTTGCTGGTGTTGATTGAAAAGCCAAATGGAGAGTGGAATATCAGAAGCCGTGCTTGAAAGTTTTGGGCGT